GCTCTGCCGATCTCTTTCATTCACTGTCTGTGGGAAGCCTGTAGGCTACACATCACCATGATAAACAGTCTTGTTATCGTTATGAACTTGTTTAACATTCAATACACATGCATTAAGTTCAAAACAAGAAGGGTATAAAAAAAAAAAAACGTGAATATCGCGGTTGCTGCGGTTACGTGCTATCCTCTGCGGTTGACTTGTCAGAAGCGCGGTACTACAATATTGCGGTTACCGCGACAGCCCTAGATTAACAACCCGAAACTAAAAAACAGACCTGGCCTCTATTTGAGACCGGCTTTTATTTACCCAAACCTGCAGCCACACTAGGCGTGTAAAAGAGACAGACTATTTGGGACTCGCTATTATTTGAAGTTTTACTTTAAATCTCCTAAATCTCTGACCCATCGTCTTTTTCCTCGTCTAATTTTCTGCCGTTCTACAAACGTCATCTGGTATCATTGACCCGATTGGCTATGAGCTACGTACAGACGCATTTGATAGACATTCGTAACACCCAATAATATGGCTCCGGGCATTCATAAACCATGCCTCAAACACGAGAAAATGAACATGTGGTTTCTAGACAATGTTTCATTCTCAATGAGACGTGGTCTGATATCAGCAATCACCTTCAGCTTTCCGCCAAAGTCAACTCCATGGTCAGATTTAGATAAGAGACCAAACCATGGACGAAACAATGGATGGAGACGCAGCCGGCCCATCCCGGGAATGTGCCGACCCGTGGCCCCACCTATATTCTGAATAGTGACTGAAAAGTGACCCTGAACTCATCTCCAGTGGAACCTCAAACTCTCCCTCCAATATCAACATCTGCAAAGTTCCAGTCTTCGGGTCTTTAAACAAATGATGGTGTGGAAAGGGGGAAGTGAACGTACGGACCCAAAAGACGGGGGGTGGCATGTTTTGGATGGGGGAGTTTTGCCAATAATGACCGATCAGCCTGCGGCACCACCAGAAATACTAGATGTAGTCCGCTGTAGTTGCAAGAACGACTGTGGCACAAAGAGAAGAACATGCAAAAAACATGGACTCCCTTGCACTGCCATTTGCAGGGAATGTCGTGGTACTAGCTGCACAAACTCACAGTTGCCTGATTTATCTGATGAATATGACCCAGAGGGGAAGAACTAAGCAAAGAACAAACCGGGAACTGATTTGGGTATGCCAGAACCAAGAGCCACAGAGAAGGGGTCGAGGATAAAATAAAATGAGAGAAAACAAAAATTAAAAAACACCCAACCCTCCCCTGAGGCTTGTGTCCCTCTGTGACCCTGAAGACTATACCGGCGGGGGTTATACCCCTGACAGGTACTACCAAGCCAGGCAGTTTTCAGGTTAGAGGCCAGTCTAAAAGCAGCATCGCCATCACCCATTGGCAGTAGGATGATTGGATGAAGATTGGGCCGATTTGTCATACATATGAAGGGTGTTTCTGCCTATGCAAATTATGACATATTCAATAAGTGTAGAGCTCATGTGCATATTCAAATTAATTTCAAAAGAAACTTGTAATACAAAATAAGTTACTTTTCCTGTATACTTTTACTTTGTAAAGTTTTATTGTGGTAGGAATAAAGCAAAAAAAAAATTAAGCCCATTTGGGTGTACTTTGGGCATATTCGATTAGTGTATAGCTCATTTGCATAATAAAATTCATTTTCAAAGAAACTTCTAATACAAAATGTTTTACTTTTCTTGTAGACTTTCTTTGTGTAAAGTTTTATTGTGGTAGGAATAAGGAAAAAAATTAAGCCCATTTGGGTGTATTTTGGGCATATTCGATTAGTAAATTGCTCATTTGCATAATAAAATTCATTTTCAAAGAAACTTCTAATACAAAATGTTTTACTTTTCTTGTAGACTTTCTTTGTGTAAAGTTTTATTGTGGTAGGAGTAAGGAAAAAAATTAAGCCTATTTGGGTGTATTTTGGGCATATTCGATTAGTGTATAGCTCATTTGCATAATAAAATTCATTTTCAAAGAAACTTGTAATACAAAATTTGTTACTTTTCATGGGTACTTTCATTGTATAAAGTTTTATTTTGATAGGAGCAGAGGAAAAAAATAGCCCCATTGGGGTGTATTGTTGTCTGGCCTTACTGGCACACATCTCGGATTGATGAGAATTAAACATATTTCCTCAACTAGGATTTCTTAGGACTTTTAGTATGTTGTTCTGGACACCTCATAGAAATGATCTATGCTGAAAAAAATTCTTTTACAATTAGTCTGTCGTAAAACGCTACTTTGCCTGGACTATTAGAGGCTTTTGCATCTGAACTCTTCATATGTATGCCAGTGTGGACGTGGCCTTAGGGTCTGATAGCAATCCTGATGCTTGCCTTAGCAAACACAACTACCACTAATTATCTACGGTTCCCACTTCATGTATTCCACCTCCACGCTTCTGTTGTGATATCAGACAATAGTGTGTCTTCCACACACACATACACACTTGTAGCGTGTAAACAGACAGCCCATTGTGCTTTCACAGCCCGGCGACATCACACTGCACACAAATCACATGGGCGAGATGTAATGCTGCACACAACACGCTGTCTTGTTGTCAGATGTGAACACACACACACACACACACGCACACAGAGAGTTATTGCTACTGTAATGTGTGTAAAGCTCCAGAGAGGGCAGGACTCCATATGGGCCACAGGAAGTGTTTGCAGCAGCGCTGAGTGAAAACACACAGATTTAAATCATTCTGCTCCTTTCGCAAACAATCCGTGAAGTGCAAAAAATGTTTTTGACGGAAACATGACAAAAATGCAAGTAACTCATTATGAGATCACATTAGCAGTTCCTTGTTTTGAAAGCACAAGCTTTTTTACTAAAAGCCCTTTAAATCAACAGAACTTTCCCTGTGGAATGCGGTTTTTAATGAGATTTCACTGGTGTTCCTTGACAACCAGTAAGAGACTGAGCGCTTTCATTTCCACCCTGAACTATAAGTCCTGTCTGGCTTTGATTTCCACAGAACTGTGGCTCCTATTCCCCCTTCCACACTTGAAATGAAGTACATTTTGTATACTACTTTGTGTGCTTAAGGTTTGTGAAACATACACATTTTAATCATTACTACTGACCATTCTTAGTTAAAGATACACATTTTAAATAATACATTAAAACTAACATTCAGAAATTGTATTAAAGTTCAGTTAAATGCAAAACTTCCTTTCATGACGGCCCAGGCTGAAAGCAATGACAACTTGCAGCTCAGTGAGTCAGTCGTTTAAAGATTCATTAACCGCTCTAATGGATTCAGTTCAGGAGTTCAGGAGTCATTAGAATAATTTAAATGGTAACGTGAGTTTTTTAACGCGAGTTCAACTGGCTCATAATCAAGCACAGTCATTTGTTTGTGTCAGTGCGAGAGAGGTTTTATGCACACGGTCATATTTTCTCGTCAGAACTCATTTAGACCGCAGCAGATTCACAAAGCTGTGCAGGAAACACTGTTTTCAGTGGTTCCTAACTGTTGAGCTGCAATCTAGAAATGGCCACCAGGTCTGTTCTCAACGGGTCAAACTAGATGCAAAACTAGATGCAAATAATAACTATAGAATTCTGCATCATTATGACTGCAAAATGCTAAATCATAAGCAGGCATAAGTCGTTCACTTTTAAAAAATCTTTTGCTGATAATTTACTCACCCCCATGTCATCCAGGATGTCCACGTCTTTCTTTCTTCAGTTGAAAATAAATTAAGGTTTTTGATGAAAACATTCCAGGATTTCCTCCATATAATGGACTTCAATGAGAACCAAACTGTTCAAGGTCCAAATGAGAGTTTCAGTGCAGCTTCAAAGGCCTTTAAACGACACGAGACGATGAATAAGGGTCTTATCTAGGACCCTTCGAGTCATGACTCGAAAAAAGATTTGTTCATTTTGATGAACAAGTTCGAACAGGAGAGTCATGAACTCTCATCACAGAACAGAGCAAGGCGAGCATTTGTGCTTCTAAAACTTAAACTTTATTTAATTTTGAAATGACAGATCGTTTCGCTTCATAAGACCCTTATTCATCGTCTGGAATCGTTTAAAGCCCTTTGAACAGTTTGCACTGAAACACTCATTTGGACCTTGAACCGTTTGGTTCCCATTGAAGTCCATTATATGGAGAAAAATCCTGGAATGTTTTCATCAAAAACCGTAATTTCTTTTCGACTGAAGAAGGAATGACATGGACATCTTGGATGACATGGGGGTGAGTAAATTATCAGCAAAAGTTTTTTTAAAAGTGAACAACCCCATTAACACCTGAGGAGAAACTAATTCTCACATAAAAGGTTGTGTCCAATCCAAGATGCAAATTCATCGGTCACTTATGAATCTCAGACAATTAGACAGATGTTAGCATGAGGAAGTTGTGTGACGAGACCCTCAAAAACCACAGTACGACACGAAGTAGAAAAACAAAGATAAACATGGTGTGTGGCAAACACAATGCGTACACAAGTTCTGCGTTTGGTGAGCTAATAAAATAACTCGAATCTAATAATTATTTCTGTGGTGAAATGCGGGGGAATAAGCTTTGCGTTTAAAGAAGTAATCAAATATTTCGCCTTGTGGCAAGAATATTATTTACTCATGTGGCAAGTAACCATGTACTGTAATAAGCGGGATAATGTACATCCAGCCGGTTGTTATATCAGAATAAACTCCTTCAGGCTGACGGAAGACCTGATCACCCTGTCGGGGTTTATTCTGAGATAACAACCGGCTGGATGTACATTATCCCGCTTATTACACGATATTACGGTTACTCGCCACATAAGTTTTACCTCGATTTTTTACCAACTGCCATTCCCTGTTTTATTAAATATCTCTCACTAAGCTCTTGGGACTACAGCATGTACTTCCATTGGATAATGAGTAACATTTTCTGATGTAACTGGAAGCATTCGTGTACGTTTCAGCTTTAAAGGTGACGCTGTGTATTTCTGCAGAAGCTCCTCCTCACCTTCCCTTTCTGGTTGAGAGGTTCGATGGTCAGACTATCGGCACTGATGTCGATGATTCTTCCCAGCTGGAACCCATCTGCAGGGTGGGGCGCCCACACCGGCTTTCCATCGTCCATTTCACCGCTGAGGAAGAAAAACAAATTCAACAATCAAATACCAATGGAAGATTCTTTCATAAAAAGTAATTAAAACAATTTATACTATGGGGCTGTTGAATGCTTGAATCTGATTGGTTGACAAACGTTCTAAGGTGTGCAATTATTTTCAGGTAAAGCGTGGCTAGTTCAGGTAAAGTAGTTCCAGGAGGGTATCTCCAAAGGATTTTAGTTATTTCAAAAGGTCCTTACAGCGAACAACAGCAAAAGAACCAAAACCCACAATGACACTGACCCGGCAGATAAATATAGTAAACAATAGGATTAAAACAACTTATTTCCATGTTTTCTGCGACAAAATTACGTTTTTATTATCGACCAAAAGCACATACTCACTTTCTCCCACTCAAAGGCACACACACACACACAGTACGGACACACCCTTGCACAGAAACTTGTTGTCAGTGCTGCTCTAATGATTTTATCAGTAAAAAAGTTTAACAACTTAAAAGCAACATGACATTTCTAACTAGCGAGGACATTACACCGCTGTTCTTGAAGCAGATAAACATACAGCTTCGCTATTAGAAGTGACACTGTTGGAAGACACACTCTCAATCTCAATCTCTCTCTCTCTCTGCATTAGACTGCGATCAGTGGCTCAAGACCATGTTACGGGCTCCAAAATGACGTTTAGCAATTAAACAATGGAGGCTTGGGATTAGATGAGTCAGAAATTAGTCTTACACACAATAGTGTTTTAAGGACAAAGACCTGACAAATATCACCTGAACAATGTCTTGAGGTGTGGTGAACATACTGTAGTAAAAGTGGAATAATTGACTCCGGGTCGTTGAATTATTAGAAAATAATGCATACCCGAGGTGTAACATCATCACCAGTATTATACCACCTCGGGTACGCATTATTTTCAAATAATTCAACGGACAGTTGTCAAATTACTCCTTACAATGTATAACAAACAAGTAATTACTGTACATTTAAATACAAAACTACATGCAAACATATTTAAAGCAAAGTTTAATGGCATTTATAACTATTTCAATATACAGGTCTTCTATCGGATCCTATATGATAAATATTGTAAATCTTTTTTTTCTTTTTTTTAAATCATACTGTAAAAATGATCAAAACTGTGCTGGAGATGCGTTTGTATATTTGATTTGATTTTGCTATTGCTATTTTAAGAAAACTAAATGCACTGACAAATTGAAATGTGAAAATTATGTGGTTAAATTATTCACAATTTCAATTCAACAATCTCAAAGAGACGTTTAAGACGTTTTGATTATTTAGTTTTATATGTTTTTACGATTTACTTTATAATTTGTGGTCATATTGGGATGGGTTTCATTAGAAAGACTAATGACTACTGAGGGAAAGATAAATGGAGCAAAACACAGAGCGGTGCTTTATCCAGATCACAGATTTCAGAATGAACAAATCTTTCTGCATGACATCAAGCCAAAGTACAGCGAGGAGAACAATAGAGTGACTGTGGTGCAAGTCTACAAACGTCTCAATAAAACACATTTTAAAAACACCGTCTCATTATTCTCACAATTAACCCACTATTTTCTATGACTTTTACCCCAATAAACTCCTAATTACTGCTTATTAATAATAGTTAGTGAGGTAGTTGATAAGTTTAGGCACTGGGTAGGGTTACAGGATGTAGAATATGGTCATGCAAAATGCAAGATGTGCTTTGTATCATCGTCATGCTGGAAGATTCAGTTTAAGCTTCCTGACAGAGTCAGTCAGGTGTTGATTTAATATCTGCTGCTATTTGAGGGAGTTTATGATACCGTGTATCATAAGTTGTCCAGGGTCTTTGAAAAATAAAAATTAGCCCCACAACATTAGAGATCCACCAAAGGATCTTTGGTCTGTGCCAAAGATAAATGGCATAGATAGTTTGTTTTCAAACTTTCAATTGATTTACTTGAACTAAAACTGAAAAAAAGAAAGCAGCAAATTTAATTTTTCCCTTTTTAGGGAATTTAAGTGCTCTGGTCTTGGCTTCTAAATGCGTTTGCATAATTTTGGTTTACTGTATTAGTATTTATACACTGATGATGAATGTTGTGTAAGTAGATGATCACTTGTCAAATAAAAGTGATCTTCTTCAGTTAGTGCAAGTCCGTCCCGCCAGTAGTTTTGAACAGTCGATGAAGAACACGGGCTCTCAACTCTTCGTTAACTCTTCGTTGGTTTTGATATAGGAACTGTTGTTATCTAGTAAGTTTGTTTATAATGTACCTCTTTTTTCCCAGTAGATCATTCATTGTAGTGAGTATAACTGGAAAGTAATGGAGGTTGTTTTAAATCTCCAGCTTTATAGCAAGTAGGACTCTAGTACTAGACACATTTTAATGCTAGCAAAAACACTTCTTGCTATTTTTACATTCGGCTGCTTTTGCCAGTGCTTTGCGGCAAGCTTTATGTGTGTGAGGCATATTCCTCCATCCAGTGGTCTATATGACTATTTGAGTGTGTAAAAAAAAGTCAACAAATGTGGCATTGATTTAACAAGGTGCTGAAAGCACCACATTTTTTAGAAATGTTGGCGACTCATATTGATAGGATAGCATCTTGCAGTTGATGGAGATTTGTCGGCTGCACATCCAGGGCACGAAGCTCCCGTTCCACCACATCCCAAAGATGCTCTATTGGGTTGAGATCTGGTGACTGTGGGGGCCATTTTAGTACAGTCAATGCATTATCATATTCAAGAAACCAATTTGAAATGATTCGAGCTTTGTGACATGGTGCATTATCCTGCTGGAAGTAGCCATCAGAGGATGGGACATGGTGGCCATAAAGGGATGGACATGGTCAGAAACAATGCTCAGGTAGGCTGTGGCATTTAAACGATGCCCAATTGGCACTAAGGGGCCTAAAGTGTGCCAAGAAAACATCCCCTACACCATTACACCACCACCACCAGCCTGCACAGTGGTAACAAGGCGTGATGGATCCATGTTCCCATTCTGTTTACGCCAAATTCTGACTCTACCATCTGAATGTCTCAACAGAAATCGAGACTCATCAGACCAGGCAACTTTTTTCCAGTCTTCAACTGTCCAATTTTGTTGAGCTCTTGCAAATTGTCGCCTCTTTTTCCTATGTGTAGTGGAGATGAGTGGTACCCAGTGGGGTCTTCTGCTGTTGTAGCCCATCCGCCTCAAGGTTGTGTGTGTTTAGGCTTCTTCACAAATGCTTTGCTGCATACCTCGGTTGTAACGAGTGGTTATTTCAGTCAAAGTTGCTCTTCTATCAGCTTGAATCAGTCGGCCCATTCACCTCTGACCTCTCGCATCAACAAGGCATTTTCGCCCACAGGACTGCCGCACACTGGATGTTTTTCCCTTTTCACCCCATTCTTTGTAAACCCTAGAAAAGTTTGGGTGTGAAAATCCCAGTAACTGAGCAGATTGTGAAATACTCAGACACCAACAACCATTCCACACTCAAAATTGCTTAAATCACCTTTATTTCCCATTCCGACATTCAGTTTGGAGTTCAGGAGATTGTCTTGACCAGGATCACACCCCTAAATGCAAATGCAGCTAAACAACTGCCATGTGATTGGTTGATTAGAGAATTGCATTAATGAGAAATTGAACAGGTGTTCCTAATAATCCTATAGGTGAGTGTAGTGGCCGTACTAACCTCACAATTTACAAAGTACAATATTTGTCAATGATGCTCAGGATCTGCTGCACACAATATCATCTGCCACTGTCTTATCAGTTAACTCTCGTCACGTGATAAGAGCAATCTGACTCTTTCTGCGACTCTGCAGCTCGTGCTGTATGGAACAGAGCGGACGCTTTCAGTTTATAATTGTAGCGTTTGTCAGCCAACTGAACTAATTGGTTGTCATTTATATAAAAATTTAAAAAAATAAAACGGCAGTGGGGGCGGAGCTGCGGTGGCAAATATGTAATGTAATTGGCGTACAAATAAAAAAAAAACACTTAAAAGACATCGACTAAAAGACATAAAACTCTGATTTAGATTTCATTCAGTTATGTTTATTATTATTATATTAATCATGTGACCGATTTTCCACCTTCTGTCAGTTAAAGCTAACTGCTCTACTACTCAGAATGTGTTTTACGGTCTGAAGTCTGTAGACTTGCTTATGAAATTCAGCAGTCTTGCTTACTACTAGGGTTGGGTATCGTTTGAATTTGAACGATTCTGATTCCGATTCCGATTCCTTGTTTCGATTCCGGTTCCTAACGATTCTCGATTCCGATTCTTTTAAGAGGCAGGGTCAAAAAAGTTTAGCTAACCTTTCTAACCAACGGCCTTTCTGAAGGAAATAATCCTTTCTGAAGGAAATACTCCTTCTGTCACAAATACTCCTTTTGTCGCAAATTTTGCATTTTGCCGAGATTTCGTTATTTTTAGAAAAGTGAAGCCACACTTTGGACCGCCGACGTAAGGTACTCATGTTCGACTCGCGCGGTTATGCCAACACTTCCGGTAGACGCTTCTTCGTTGGTGTTGTTCAGCGGTTTCTTCTTCCGCTCGGCGGACTGTGAATATCGAAACTAGGAATCGAAATTTGAACTTTTGAACGATTCCGGGAAAAACGAAAAGTTAGTCCCGATTCCAATCGATACTCGATTCTCGATACCTAACCCTACTTACTACACCTCGAGAAGTAAAGGAAATCAATGTCAACGTGGCACACTTGGGTCAGGGTAAGGTGGGTTAGGTGTGTCCTTCCTGAAATGACAACCACCACCCATTTTTAATCACAGTTAAAAGTAAAGGAATTCTTCAGGCAAGCGTCCTGGACGGGTAAGTCACAGTATCAGCCCACATCCAGGTCAAAAAAGATGGAGCACAGCTGACAAATTGTAAGCAGACGCCAGATGCGTATTGTGCAAGTCCCAGATCACGTCTCCCAAAACCAGTTTGGCAGTGAAACAGCCTCTGGCTCCAGGATTGACAAGCCAGAGCAAGATCACTACAAAGCTGTGGAGTTGC